TTTTTTTTGGTTTTTCGAATCTTCGTCTCGTGATCCCGAGAGGTTCGGGGAACGGGCAGGGGAACGTTAAAAAAGTGTACGCGGTAGAAAAAGGTTTCTCTCTCACAAGCTCGAGCGTCTTGATAATGTATGCCGGGACACGATTTGCGAGAAGGGAGCGAACGATCATCGTTTCGCCGCCGTTTTGGTCTGAACGCCCAGGTCTGCCAATTTTTCCTCTGCCCTTTTTCCTTTTTTTTCTTTTTTTTTCTTTCGTCGCTGATATTACTATTCATCTACGAAGGAACAAAAGTCTGGTTTACTCGATATTTGGCACAGATTAAACGGAATTCTCTGCCCGTGTGGGCTGCTCTTTCGTGCGACGGGAACACTCCTTCTCAACAGACTGACGAGAAGATGTGTTTTTCCCTTCCTGCCTTTTATTTTTTTTTCTTTCTTCCTTTTCGTTTCTAAACTCTTGGTTCACGGGAAACGATCGTTATACGGCTCTTTCGTCTAGGTGCATCTTAATGTGTGTCAAATATTAAGTATGCGATGTGCACGCGTGCATATACACGCGCGCACACGTGGTGCATTACGCGTTACAATGTGTGTGGATCGATTCTGTCATTGTTGAATTCGTCACTCTCTGACAACGTCGTAAGCCCCGTGTGAACGTCGTAGAAAAGAAAAAACGCAAAGGTGGAAAAACAAGAGAAACGGAGAAAAATCAAAATATCTTCAAGAATGAAACTCTTCTTTCCTCTCCAAGTATATATCTTCCGTGTAGAAGTTCCTTCTTTCTTTCCTTTCTTCTTCGAATTCTCGCAACAATATATATATATGTATATATATATATATAAAAGAGAGAGAACGTAAATAAGTGTATATATACATACATACATACATATACATATATGTATATACACACTTCGCGGGAGGGGATCGAACTCTGTTTACACTGTTTCATGTATATACGTATATATCGTGTGTACATATGTATACATCCCGGTACGATATACAGCATATGCAGCCTTATGATCTAGGAATAATTATTATTGTGGTAGCAAGTCGTCTTAAGTCTATGGGGGGGAGGGGGAGGGGGGATGTGGGAGACACAAGAAAAAAGAAAAAAAATGAAAAATCTTGCCTCGTCAATAACGCGTTAATAACGAAGAGAGAAACGCCTGCTTCGCTGTTTCGATTCGCGAAGTGTATGAACGGGGCGGAGGGATGGATTTGAATATGCTGAAAAAGACTGACGATTCAACCCTGTTACGGGGTGAAGGCTGGGGTGACAGCAGGACACAGAGAGAAAGAGAGAGAGAGAGAGAGAGAGAGAAGAATCTTTTTTGGGAGTGGGTTCGCGAGCATGTTCTTGCAAAAAAAAGTAAATAAAAAAGAAAAAAAAAAACAAGGACAGAAAGAATGAAAGAGAAACACACAGACACGCAGTCGCGAACCTTATAGGTAAGAGGAAAGTATGTATCGGTGGTATTTACAAGAATTCTAGCGAGGGGGTGGGGGAGAGGTTAATGACGATCGGAGTGGGAGGTGAAAAGTGGGGGAAACATTTTGGACGACTCGGTGGCGAGGATCCTTTCGTCGAGCTTCTTCGACTTCTCTTTTTTTTTTTCTTTTTCTTTTTCTTTTTTGGCCCCACCTTCGTTTCGAGATTCCCTTAAACCACGAACCCGTTTCCCAAACGGGAAAGGGGCACGGCGGTTTCAGGCAGCTTTCCCCGTTCGATCTGCCGGTACTAATTAATCAATAAACGATCGTCTAATTCGTCGAACGTAAAGCAACAGAGCGGGCTGAATCTCGGTTGGACATTCTGGGTGGAGACAGATCGGTGTTGGAAACGAAGGCGGACGACGGGCAGTAGGAACATACGAAAACGCCGACCGAGCAACACCGATACAATGGTCGGTCGGCGATTACAACAGCGAACGCAAGGAGGCGTCCCGAGCGTGTATTATAGATCGTGTCACGGAGAAATCCTTTCTTCTTTCTCTCTTCTTCTTCGTTCGTTTCTTTCTTCTTCTTTTTCATCGTTCTCTCTCGGCTGGCTTATTTAATAACGTAAAACGCGCCCTCTGCGTGCACACTTCTCGAAGGAGTACTTCCTGATGTCTCGATGCGTCGCGGGTTCTCGATCGTTCGTTCAGTTTCGAGCGGAGCCGGGCTCGCCGTGGCGAACGCGCGCGTTCAGTTTGCTGATCGCGGCGCGCCTTTCGATCACGAGTGCTTCACTACGATCACGCCCGGTCGCTGCTGGGTTTGCTGCTGTCTGTGGAACTGGAGGAACTCGGCTTGCAATAGCCGTTGCTTCGCCGTCGGCGACGCGCCGGACGTTGTCGTCGACTTGCTCGACGTGTTCGCCGTCTGTTTGTTGGTCAACGCCAGCGGCACGTCCTGCGCTGGCTCGTCGCTGAACAGATGATCTCCCTCTAGGTGGCGTATCGCTTCCACGATCGTCTCCAGGTTCTGTCGAGAGGTGTTGGCCAGGTAGAGCCTCGCCTGCGGTGACCCGTCGTCCAGGGTGTTGGAGGGCGACGGCAACCTACGATCCGAAGCAACTTTCGTAAGTTCGCATTTCTTTTCTTTTGTGCACACATTTAGAGGAAAAAATGCTTCTTTCGTCAGGTTCTTTGAAATTTTCGCGATTGAACGTGTACCTTCTGCATGTACTATTGTTTCACGTGCGCATTTGTGGAAAAAACGTGTAAAGGCGGTTTCTAAATTTAACTTCGCGTTTAATGATTCGATGTTTCAAGTTGCGCAGGTATGCAGCTTTAACGTCTTGTTATCGGCTAAGTGGAATCGCGTTCATAACGAAAATCATAAAAGATTGATAGGACGTGCATGACTATTTACCTTGACATTTACCCTAGATACTAAACGCGTATTATTATTATACATCGTGCACCACGTTAAAGTTCACCGTAAAACGCTTATGCCCGACATTTAACTTCGCCAAGTCACTGCTGTCTTCACCCTCTCCCCCCCAAAAAAATTATGAATTTATCATGAATCATCGACGAGCCTCCATGGGTGTTTAGGTTACACCCATAGAAATATATACGTTCTAGCCACCAATTCTCTTTTAATTCCCTTAGACACTCACCTCTCAACCTCAACCTTCGGTTCCGCCTTCATTGCGGCCTCGAGGACACTAGGTAGCCGTTGCGGTTCGGCAGCTGGTGAGAACGGCCTGCTAGGGCTGGTGGTGATGTACTGCGGCGACGCGTTTTTAAACTCGCCTGTACTCGTGGCGTACGTGACACGACTCGACGAGGAGAACGAGTCGCCGGTAGTCTGTTCGTCGATCGCCGAGAACACCTGGTTCTGGCCAAACGTCACGATCTTCGGCGAGCCTGGGCCAGCCTCCTCCTCCTTGATCTCCTCCGGCACCATGTCGGCCGGCTGTGGAGACAGGGGCGGTGAACTTGGGTCCGGACTAGACGTTTCCACCGTCTGCGTCGTGCCAACCGGTGCCAAGGACACCACAGAAACTACCTGCAGCGCCGCCACCGCTTCCTCCGTCTCCTGAGCGATCACGTTGTCCGTATGTTCAATCACCTGGAGAACAGAGGGAGCAGAAGAATTTGTGAAATTTCGTTGCCGAAATGTTGAAAGTACACAGTATGATTTTCTCTACGTCTAGGTTTCTTGTAAAAGCTTGCAATTATAACATTCGTATCTTAGATCTCCCATTTTTCTATCTAAACCCCTGAAATTATGTCGTCAACTTGAGTTTTTTTTTTTTTTTTTTTTTTTTTT